TTAGACATACATACTTTGAATAAAAAAAATATATACGCATATTTATATATGAATGCCATATTTTATTTATATAATTATATTTTACAGTACGTTAGTTGAATATAAAATATATACTTATTTATCAAGTGTTCTAAAAGTTGCTAGGCGCTCGACCAGCACCTTGTGCTTAGACAAGGCCTAGGCGGACCTAAAAATCAATATTAAATACTTTATTTTTATTTATTTTAACTATCTACAAAATAAAGTTAGTATATTAGAAAACATGATAACAAAATAATGTAATTAGTATTTAAAATAAAAAAAAAAACTGAAAAATTGCCGTCGAGCCTGCCTAGGAGCCGCCTAACCGTCGGGCCGCCGAGCCAGCCAAGTCCGCCTAGTCGCTTGGCCAATTTTTTCTGCCAATTTGTGCAAATCGGAGGCGCCCGAGCATCGCGTAGCGCCTAGGCGGTCGCCTAAGACGATTTTTAAACCAATGTTATTTATTGAATAGTATGTTTGTCTAACTATTAAACAACATTGGGGGAAATCTACATTATTTAAAACAATGCACAATTGTTAAATAATATGAATAGTAAACAATTAGGGTTGCCGAACAACAACTATTCTAATAATTATTCAAATAGTTTCCAAAAATGTCATTTTGACATTAATATATAAAATTATGACTGTGAAGGGATCGGAGTTGATATGTTCTACAGCGAATTTCGAATAAATTAGTGACAAATAAAAACAATTATGAGTTGATTAAGAAAATAGAGAAAATGTAAGCAGCTATTTAATAAACGATTTTTTTTTAAGCCCAAGTTGCTATAATGTACATTATCGGTTTGTCGTTGCTAAACTAGAAATTTTAGACTTAATTATTAATCCATAATCCAAAATATATATATATTCAAATTGCTATATTGACAATTGTATATAAAAATTTGCAATTTGTTTATTTTTATTTTTTTCACATTTGCATCATTATTTCATTTGATGTTATTATCTAAATATTGACATGTTTCTTTTATTAGGAAATCATATCATCCGGTCAATCACTAAAATGTTTTCGCCCCCTTTTGCAAACTTAAATTATTTTTATATTTATTTTTTAATTCCCATTTTGGATAAAACATAACAACGTTCCATATTAATGGCTAATTCTATTTCAAGCACTTGTTCATTGTCCGACATTTTTTTTTTCCTGCAGTCAATTGACACATTTTTATACCACTGACATTATTAATGAATGTTTCTTGATGAAAAATGGAAACTTTACTCATTATCACCATAGAAAATAAATAAATAAAAATCATATTTATTAGAATATTCACTTGTTAGCCGTTCCACATCGTTTGTATAGGGAAAATATGTTAATTTATGAGTTTAGTGGGTTACTCCACCTTCCACCAACTAACTTTGGGATGAAACCCCACTCAAACTTCATCTAAGTTTTTTTTGTCTTTGGTGCGCTTTATCTGCGTGGGACCGACTGCACTCGTTTTCACCGTTTATACAATATATGATATGATTCCATGTTATTGTTTATTGTGTTTTTGTGCTTTTGTTCTATGTGTTTTTGTGTGCTTTCGAGT